CCAAATGAATTTTCTCACCACAGGATCCCTTTCACCAACACTCATCCCCTCAAGACCTGCCCCTCCTCCCCTCTGCCCTCGGCCCCCACCCCCAACACACACAGTCTCTGCTTCTGGGTTCTTTGTTTGATCAGCCCTTAATTTTTGTGTGTGTCACTTTTCAAGTAGTTTGGTTTTGATGGATGCTATATTTCCTGAGATGCTTCATGTTTGAAATCTGCACTGATTGTCTTTATATTTGCAGAACATCTTAGCTCTGCATAATATTCTTGGGTCAACCTTTCTTCCTCTCAGGACTATTGATTGACTGTGCTTTGATTGACTGTGTTTTGCCATTGAATGGTGCTATGGAGAAGTCTGAAAGCAGCCTAATTTCCTCCTTATTTTCTAATTTGCATTTTCTGTCTGTATTATTTCTTTATCCTTAAGTTCAAAAAGCTTAATTAGTTCAAGTTTCTAGGCAATGAGCATTCTGCATCAAGTTACCCTGAAGCACAGATTTCTCTTTCAATGTATAAATGCAACTCTTTCTCAATTGGTAAAATTTCCTTATATTATGTCATGAATATATCTTCTTTTCATTTGTTGGGTTCTCTGTTTTAAGGATACTAATTATCCTTGTCTTTCATAACTATTAGCTTTTCTCTAAAGAACTTCATCTCTTCAACTTTTTCATTGGTATGTTCTTTATTTCAAGCTTTTCTTCTGTCATTAATTATATTTTTAGTAGCATCTATTCTGTTTCTTATAGTTTGTCCCTTTTTAGTTCCATGATGATGTAATTTGTTCCTTATTTTTTTTCCCTTTCTGTGATATCCTAAGAGATTGTGTTCCTTAATTTTGTTTTCATAGAAGTATTATTTTAATATTCTCCCTCTCCCACCCCTCTCTTCTTTCCTCTCTGCTTCTTTTCTTTTTATTCATGTTCATCCTAGTATAGCTCTTCTTAACTGGTCTATTTGCTCTAATCTAATGTAGATAATATCTTTACTCTCCCCAATCTATGATTAGTTTGATATCTCCTCTGCATATCAGCTTGAGGCCAATGTATTTTATTCTCTCTACTGGGAAAGATTGGAGCAGGGAAGGGAGTTTAGGTGCAGAGATGGCCATCTCTTTTAGAATACTCAAGGTCTGCTTTTTATTTTAAGATTCTTCAAATTTCTCATTCCAGAATCCACTTCACCTGGTTGGAGGCATATCTCACTACCATGGGTGAATAATGCTCGGGCTTTGTGTCATTTCTCACTGTCTCATAATCTCTCTTTTAAAAGATTAGACTTTTTTTATATATCAAATTTTTTTATATATCAAATTTATATATTAATTTGTGTCCACTATTCTTGTCAAAATAAGAAAAAGAACAGTATCTTCATTCAGTTTGTTTCTTTAAAAATTGTTAATCTTAAATGAGAAATCTCAGGATTGTATTGAGTTGACAGTAAGGCTTTTGAAGAGCTGATGGTTAGGGTTAGGGTTAGGGTTAGGGTTAGGGTTAGGGTTAGGGTTAGGGTTAGGGTTAGGGTTAGGGTTAGGAGCTGAGCCATGTTATCTTTATCCCAACTTCATAATCCTCATATTTTCTGGGAACCAGATTTTAAAGTTTATTAAATTACTAGAAGCCCAGTGCATTAGAATTCATGCACCGGAGAGGGGGTCTCTCATCCTGGCCTGCCCTCTCTCATAGCTCAGGCACTTTTAGGGATGGGAAGTGACCCTGCAATAGGATGGTGATACCCCCATTACACCTCTGGGGCTGCCACTGCAGACAGTGCAAGCCTCTGCCTGTCCTGGTTACCTGAGCCTCCTGTGGCACTGGAAGGCTGGGCAGCTGCCATCTGAGGTTTGTCTGTGCCTCAAGTGTTGGCTTGGCTGCAGACATCCGAGGCTTACCTGCACCTCAGGCTGACCCTGGGTGTCTGGGGGCTGAAGGGACTGGGGGACTCTGGAAACAGGCACATGGAGCAGCCAGGGCTTACCTGGCTAAAGGGACTGGGTGCCACTATCTTGTGGCTATGGATGCTGCCATATTTGAGGGAGTGGCAGTCAATTAGCATATTTCCCCCTTATTGGCTATTTGTGCCGCCATCTTTGTGAGAGTGTACTGGTCAATTAACATTTCCCTCTTTATTAAATATGATGTTATACAACTGAGTTGCTAACAATGACTTTTTTGGAAGGGTTGGTATTTCATGTTTTCATATTGTAGCTATTATGGGAGGACAATTTCATGCAAACCTTACTTAAGTTTAATAATGCTCCCTGTCCAAAGTCCTGGGCTCCTGTTGTCTCCTTGACCATCTGTGATGCAAGACCGAGACATTTCATTCTGTTACTGGTCTATCTATGAGTTCATGATAGGGTGTTAAAACAGCCCAGTGTGACATAAAAGTGATGCCTTTGAAGTGTCCCAAACAAATCTTGTTGTAAAGGGAGGAAGTTATTACTTTAACTCTTCCCATATGTAACTAAAGACTTACCTGTTTCAGTGTCTGGGCTCCCCAGAAATCAATGTTCTAATAAGAAAACAGTAGCTAATCAGGCCAAATGCTAATAAATGATAGTTGTGATTTATCTAACAACAGGAGAAAAGCTCAGCATTAACAATTAAAAGGTCGGTTGAGGAGCTGACTTTTTTTCTTTCTCTTCCTCTTAGCTTATTGAGTTCAACCATAAGCTATAAATTAATGGCTTTCTACTTGAAAATCAGTCATGAACCATAGTTTAGTAACTTTTACCCTGAGATTCATAAGACCACTTCTATTACTCAATGATAAAATAAGGAAATGGTCATGTGAGTTAGAGCTGATTTGTCCACAAAGACCACACTTCATTATTACCCTCTAAGGCACTCTTCAGTCTTTGTTATAATAGATGCAGAATTTTAAATAATCCACTGCAGTGAGAAGTAATGCTCATAAATATTATAGAACCAAATGGCTGGTTAACTCCTCCTGCAACTCAGTCATTCCATGGAGTTACAGAATGAAGTCAAAGTTTACAACACAGGCCTGAGTTTGAAATTAATTGAACAAGGTCTTTAAGAAATCTTCAAAGGATTTCATTTTTTTTCTACATTAAACAAATTAACTGGGTAGTAACCTTCACTTCAACCTGGTTGTACAGAGTCAAAGGGGGGAAACAGTTTGTCTAGCTCAAATTGAATGGGGATCTTCTAGAGAACACTCCCAGAAGAATCCTCTTTGGGAAATGCCACTCAATGATAGAGTGAATTTCATATTTTAGTGGAGGGTTTGTCATTGAGAGTAGGAGGTATTTGTCTTAATTGTTTTGGTCTAGAATTTTCTATTTCATCCAACATTGCCTTTTTACATGATACCCAGGCAGAGCTCCTAATAGGTCCCTGAGACTGCCATGTTGTTTTATGACATCAACCATTTATTGAAACTGTTTCCATTATACAGGTGACCTTTTGTAGCCACCATGCCCTCAAAACCTAGCTTTCATGTCATTTCCAATATTCAGCCCACCATCTCCAGCCTAATAAAGCAGATTACACCCTCCTTGGGCTTCCACTCCACCTATACACCTTTCTGTCTTAATACCAATAACCTTTCCCTGCACTAGATTGGTTTCTTATCTATCTCTCTCCAGGGAGAAGGTCTTATTCTTATCCAGTGTTGAGTTTATGAGTGAGCATTCAACTACTTGAGCACCTGTTCTTTGCCAATACTTGCTAGAAATCAGAAAGACAGATGTTTATCTCTGTTCTCAATTAACGCATGGCCTACTGGGAAAGATAGACTCCTATATAGCTAAACTCAGCAAGCCTACTAGGAGTCTGGGCAAGTGCCAATGCTGAGTCATTAGTGGACAAGATAGTGAATACATAAAAACTCACTACATTTTAATATATCTTCTGAGGTTTTTACAATTCAAACAAATCTGTTTCAATTGCATGTTTCACTTTGCTTACTAATGTCTTCTCGGTCTAGTCTAAACCTATGCTTCCAAAACTAATATAGACACAAATAACCTAGGGATTTTACCAAAATTCATACTCTGAGTGAGCAGATCCATGGAGGTGCCTGAGATTCTGCATTTCCTGATGTGGATCTGGGACTCTCCCGCCTCCCCATACACACACACACACACACACACACACACACACACACACACACACACACTCCTCAGGGGGAACCTCATTCAACTGAAATATTCCTTCTAAGTTTTATCAACGTTGGTATGGGATAGGATCATTCTGCATCTCTGCCCCTCCTACCAGTCTAGATATGGCTTCTTCTTTAATTCCCTTGTTGTAGGACTTCCATCCAGCTCAATTTCAGGTAACTCTAAATGATAGATGTTCTGTAGTTCAGCTATAATTTTGATGAGGTTGTGGAAGGAAGTGAGTACCATGTTTACTTATGCTGCTATCTTGACCAGAAGTCTCTTGTTAACTTTAAATGGTTCCCATGTCAGCATCTGTTTAATTTTTCAATTCATTAGAGTCTGCCACTCATCATCAAAGTAAAAATCCCTTAAACCATGAGACTTTGACCCCTCACTCTAACTATACACCTTTTGCACTTGTCAGTTTTAAATTATCCTTCTATAAAATCCTACTTGATCCCTACTTGAACTGTTTTCTTATGTAAGCTTCTTCCTCTCTCTCTTTCTCACATCACTTTCCAGCACTATTTCAACAAGATCAGATGCCTGATGTGCATCTCCTCCAAAGCACATGGAGAAGACATTACAAGTCTTCCTATCTATTATTCAACACTACCTTACTAAAATGATATGCTGTTTAAGAGGCAGTCTAATTATTTGGTTTGCCCTTGCACACTTAGTCATTACATCACTTTCCTTGACAAAACAACAGTGGATTAAACAATAGTGAACAGTTTTTTTGTGTGTGTTTTTTTTATCACGTAGGATATATGGAAGACAATGGAAGACTTATCTTGCCTAATGTCAGAGTCTGGAGAAAACTTTTCTAAATGATCTTTCTTCTTACCACCTGTGGTCTCATTTAGGTTAATTCCAAAGATGATGAAGGTGTACTGGTTGGATCCTGGGACAATGTCTATGCCTATGGCGTACCCCCATCAGCCTGGACTGGAAGCATTGACATTCTGTTGGAATATCAGAGTTCTCAGAATCCAGTTCGGTATGGTCAGTGCTGGGTTTTTGCTGGTGTGTTTAACACATGTAAGTATCCAACTGAGTAATATGTTTTTAATGTAAAGGAAATTTCACTTCATGGCATTTTATCTATAACCTGGCAAAGAGACTTAGCAATCCCTGTTGGCTCTATAGAATTTATAGGTTACTGTTCTGGGATGCAGTCAATGTGCAATTAAATTATTCTGAGCCATATATGCTCATAGCTTCTCTTTGACTTCAAGTCTTTATAGAAAGAATGATGGACTATTTTATTTCCTACATAATTCATCATTCTACTTCCAGAGAAATGGAAGGTCCTAGGGGCCAAGTAAGGATATGGAGGTAATAATATGGCATCTTCTTTTCAGTAATCCCCCAACATTTAAAAAAGGTTAAATAAGTCAAATTTAAATTTTAAAAAAATAATAGCAAATGCTTACTTGTTATCAAGAAGTTTTATAAATATGCTTAATTGTTTATGGTTTATCACTAAGAGGTTTTGTAAATATATCTATTTAATTTTTAGCCTAATGATGGAAGGGATTGTGGCAGGTGGTCTCATCTCCATTTTTTAATCTCCCTTTTTACACATGAGTCTCGATGCCCCTGAGCAATTAGGTATCAGAACTTAATGAACAATCATCACTCCCCAGTTTCTTTTCTGATTTTTAATTCACCCAACATCCAATCCATAGCAGAAAGCAGAATCATTCTCTTCAGCTTCATGCATCATTTTGTGAAATGCAATTTGCCTATCTAGGACCAATGTTATTGTTAATTCAGTGAACACTTTTTAAAAATACATTTATTTCAGTGTGTCTTCATCATTGGTAACGATTTTCATTCACATGCCATTTCTACAGTCTTGGAGAAAACAGGAACCACAAATTTCTGCTTATTCATTAGTAAAGAATGTTTTACTAAGCTAGCTTTCTTTTATTATAATTTTCAGAAAAATCAAGATGGGCTGAGAGGCTAGAAGCAAAAATAAGACCTTTCTTTTTTTTAAATAAATGATTATGAAGCCTATCAGTTTCAACTCAAAGTTGTTATAGTCTAAGAACTAGCCTGGCCTGTATAGCTTAGTGGCTTGAGCATTATCCCATGGGTCCAGTTTCAATTCCTGGTCAGGGTAAATGCCTGGATTGCAGTCTCAATATCCAGTAGGAGGCATGCAAAAAGCAGCTGATCAATGATTTTATCTCTATCTCTTTTCCTTCCTCTCTAAAATAAATTTTAAAATATTTTTTATAAAAAGAACTAGACAGTGATCCAAGTGAGGAGAAATCATGAGTTTTGTATTGTTTGTTTGTTTCTTCCCCTTGACATCAAAATGATTAAGATTATTTCCTTAGCTATTTGAATATACCCAAAGACTAGAGGAAAATTTGTATATTTCCTAAGAGCAATCAAGGTCAATGATTCTGTCTCCTAAAAGGACTGGTCTCTGAAGTTCTAGAGAAAAGCATAAACTTCAAGATAGTAGTTCCCCTCCCTCGTGGTTTGCAAGTTAAGACTACAGCACCCACTGGAGGCAGCCACTCTTGTGAAATGATTCCAGGAAAACAGAAAGGGCTCTCTGCCTCCCCATGTCCTACTGCCTATACTCTCATTATCCCAGTGTAATTCCTTCAGACTTAGAACCGGATAAAATAGTGAGTACCTTCCATCCATTTATGCCTTTTGTATAAAAGGGTCACCAGCTCTACCCCAGGCTTCCATGAAAAGTTAGAAAAGGCAGAAGCATCATATGCAGAAGCATAGTGGGAATAAACGCAAAGAGGGAAGTTGAGGGAAAGAAGTCCTAACGCCCCAGTGTCAAGCTTCACCTTTCCACACTCCAGTGTGGACTTCCAAGGTTGTTCTATTGAAGGAGGTGGATAACCTTTGGTTAAAAATGCTAAATTATTCTGAGAAAATATAAGGCAAGCCAAGTCATTAATCTTAAATTTGTCAGCAGAATTATTTCTAATGAGCCCTGATGTGTGGTGTCCTGGGAGCCAAGGTGGGCATGTGAATTAAGTTTAATCAATAGGTACATATGGCAAGAGATGCATCCGGGCAATTTGTTATCTAACAATTAAAATGAATCTGTGGTATTACCCCCTACCAAGTGTCACAGAGAAATTCCACCTGAGACAGCAAACCCTACTGAGGACCTGCTTCTTATGTTCCTAGCTTCCTATTAGTTATTTTTTAACTTTATTTTCAGAAACTTAATCCTTTGCTGGACTAAAATAATACCATTCTGGCATTGTATGGTTTGCAACAAACAACTGGATGCTGTTACTGGGCTTCTGTTTCAGCTGACTTCATCTGGCCCAACTTCAATTCTGAATGACCCTGCAGCAAGGTTTCTCTCTGCAGCTTTGGTCCTGGCAATAGCCCCTTCTCCAGCATGGAATATTTGAGGACAACATGTGCAAATGGGGTTTTTCATGTTGGTATTAAAATGAAATAGAGTCCAGCCTTGAAAATTTCCTGAGCAGAAAGAAACACAGTTTGCTCATACAAAGCTCACTTTAGCTTATTTTGCAAGGCTAATATGGCCTTGATCATTTCTTTCTTATGCATATGGAAATCATGGGCAGACCTTGAACTGCTTCCTAATGATATAAGGTAACCACTGACCAATTCCTTATGTTTTAAGAATATCCTAATATAACCAGTCACTACGAAGAATAAACAGGTGCTGATTCTTCACTATATAAGCTGCTTTATGATAATATATCCTTGCGCCTCCTTCCATGTTTTGTTTTGAGTGTTCTTGGTTAGTGAACTGTCTTTTTGGTAAATGCACAATAAACTAATTACTACTTTGGCGATTCATTGGTTTTACTTTTGTTATTTCTGACCTTTGACATTATCGAAGAAGCAAGTCTTTATGAGAAAGGATTGCTCCCTATGTATTTATTAGTTTTGGGTGACATGGTTCATTCTTTCCTGCAGTTTTGCGATGCCTTGGGATACCAGCAAGAGTTGTTACCAATTATTTATCAGCTCATGATAATGATGCCAATTTGCAAATGGACATCTTCCTGGAAGAAGATGGGAATGTGAACTCCAGACTCACCAAGGATTCAGTGTGGTGAGTTTGATTTACAAGGGCATTTGCTGAAATCAAATTAAGGTGACGTTACGCATTTCCCACAAGTCAGACTTGGTCTACTGTTTCTTTCTATTCTGTTTAAGAATTGTTCGATACCATAGGCAAAAATGTCTGATTGTCAGAGAGTTTTTCACCTAAAAAATGAGATATGTTACTGAACAGACAGTTTGAGTTCTTAGCAATAAAGATAGGCCAATTCATTATGACAGAAATCACTGATAAAGGCCATTGTTTAAATGGCTAGAACATATTGTAGCTCTTCTCTACTTTAGTTTATGAACAATATGGTGAATGGCAGAGATATAGGAGCCAAGCATTATCTATGTCAATACTCTCAGGACCATATAGTTAAGCTAACATTTATTAAGCAATTATCATGTACCAGTTTCTGTGTGCATGATCTTATCTAATTCTTATCAAGTCGGTGTTTATTAATATCTCCATTTACAGATGAGGAAACCGAGGCCCAGAGAGGTTAAAGTAATTTACTCAAGGCCAAACATCTAGTTCGCTGAGAATAAAACCCAACTGAACTTTGACCATAATTGTTTTTTGCCTTGGCAATATAGGATAGATCTTTGATTGTAAAAATGTTGTTCTTGATTTGTGACATCATCATTCATTCAGAGATAGAAAATAGAGACAGGTTGTCATTGTTACCAAATACCAATCACACGTTCTTTCACTGCCCTGAACAACTGCATCACAGCTAGCTACAGGGAGTTTAACATTGCAAAGAAGTTTCCATGGCACCCATTAAGTCTTAAAAATATTCTAGAAAGATGGGGAAAATCGCCCTGGCCAGTGTGGCTCAGTTGGTTGAGCATTGACTGGTGCACCAAAAAGTTGCCAGTTCAGTTCCCAACCAGGTTACAGGCTGATCCCTGATCAGATTGAGTGTGAGAGGTGGTTGATCAATGTTTCTCTCTCACATCCATGTTTCTCTCTCCCTCCCTCTCTCCCTCTCTCTAAAACATCAATAATAACATATTTATTTTTTTTTAAAAAATTCAAACTTAAAGGGCATTTATGAAGGTCTATATGGGAGGAAATTGCCAGGCATTGAACTAGGTAGGATTTTCTTCAAGCCAAAAATGTGTCTCCTTTGGGTGTTCTTTCAAAGAAATAAAGCTAAAACACTGTCAGTTGTAAAAGCAGCCAAAAATGGGATGATAGGAAGTTATAAGATGATTTTAAGAGAAATTAAAAGTTAGAAGTGCCTTAACTCCCCCATGTTACAGGGATGGATCGCAGCTGTAGGAGTAGTATTAACTCTCCAGAACCAGTAAACGCTCTTTTGAGAATGTTGAAAGAAGGAAATAGCTGAACTAGTAGCAAAGTGCCACTATGAATAAAAACCAGCAGTTCATTTGCAGGGAATGAGCTGAGCAATGGTAAGCTGGAGAGTTCAGGCAAGACAAAACCTCACCTCTGCAAACGGAACAGCAATTTAAAGCACCATTTAAGCCCTTGGAATCACAGTATAGCAACCCTGCATGTATATGAAATGAGAAAACCAGACCAAAATAACCTCCCCAAAAGCCTGTTGTGACAGTTGAAAATGGCAACATGAGAATTATTTGGCCTTCCGCACTGCATGAGCACACACACACACACACACACACACACATTGCCTTTGTAGTCAACTGCAGTTCGAAATTATTCCTCCCTTTTCCTTGATCCAAATGCCTCCCATCATAAATTCCTAGGAGGCCATAAACAAAACTGATACTAAATTGTGAAGCTGATAGAGCTTGATTTTGGTAACCCTTTCATCTTTCAGCTCCCTCTCCAAATTCCTTCCCCTGTTTCTGCCACCCTTTGCTCCTTCTTCGCCTTCCCCAAATTTCCCATCACCCTGGTCTGGGACCCTCCCTCATCCTCCACAGCCAGGCTATTGCCCTGGGTTCCTTTCCCCTCCCCACATTTGATGCTGGTATAGCAGGCTTCTAATATATAATGACTGACCATCTGATTAACTGGATGGCTGACATTAAAACTCAGGGCATACCAGACCATGCAGCACAGGGAAGAAAGGGTGCAGTCAGGTCTGTGTCCAGGGCCAGACTCTGCCACTGACTAGCTGTGTGAACCTGAGCTAGACACAACCTCTCTGTGCCTTTCTTTTCTCCTTTGGAGATAAAATTTTCTACTTGACTCAGCACAGAGCCAAGCATAATAGGTGCCTAATGAGTGTTACTTGTTATCACTGCCTTCGTCATTAGCCACACAGCTGGAATTCCTTAGAGGCAATATGTCCCCATCAACTCAAGCACAGTGAAGCATCAGAATAAGAGGAGTGCCAGTGTGCTAAAATGACTGTGCTATTTCTATTACTTTGGGGTATTTTTTAAAACAAAAACAGAAATCTGTGCCTCCCCTGTGCAAAACCACTAGTGGATCCTAGAAGCTACAGATGTTCCGGAACAGAAGCATTTCTAAGCCCTTTGTTGATTGAGGGGCCTGTAGGGCTGCCCTGATATATGGCCACAAAGTCACACTCTGTCATGGGGAGATACTTGTGTGGCCTTGAGAAAAGGGTTTTACTGCTTGGAGCTTTAGCTTCCTTATCAGTAGAATGAGGGTAATCTTGATAGTGACATTTCCTAATGGGGCAGTTGTGACAAATGAGGTAATCCAGGCAAAGTACTTACCACAGTGCTGGGCCAGGACTGCTCACTCAGTGCCTGCATATGAGATGAGAAACAGGGCTCCTGAGCTGCAGGGAGCTCACTGGGGCAGAGGTTTATGTGGGAGGATTTGTGGGCATCTACTGACCCCCGAGAGGCCAGCGCAGTGTGCTGGCAGCATATGGCCTAGGGAATTTTCTTGCAGAGCTCTCAGGGGCAATTGGTCTCCCCCAAGGCCTCAGACTCACTACCCTCCACAGGCTCCAGTCAAACCAACTCGCCCCAACGCCCTCTCAGCTTGTTAGGTGGCTCCTGTCCTCCCTGCCCTGCCTCTTTCCTCTCTTCCCAAGAAACCATGAGAATGATTTCTGGTTTCTCTCATTCGTGCCTCCAGCATCTCTTCACCGAGGTTCAAACTTTGTGGTGAATGAATGTTTCTGGTTGGGTCTCAAAGCCCAGGGTGTCCTCTTTTCCACAACTCAGCCAGGTCCAGCAATCCCTGAGCAGAAATAAGCTAGCCCCAGGGCTCAGAAGGGAGCACAGGAATGCATGTGGGGAGGGGTTGTCACGCTCCAAGCAGTCCTAAGCCATGAGAATGAGATGTGGGTTTCACCCTATGTCCAGACTCTTCTCCCTTTGTCAACACTGGGACTGGATGCTCATTTGCCTGCATTCTGGTTTGCATGGTGGGTTTCCTCTCTGTGGTGCCTCCATCATAGGGGGTAGAAATTTTGTACAGAGTGGGCACCATGCTGATGTCAGCAGAAGAAAGAGTCAGCTTCTCAGCCATTCTGGAGAGGGAGAGGCCGAGGAACTTAGCTGGGCAGAGTATTTGGATCTCAGAGTTGCAAATAAAATTCTGAGTGGGCCAACGCAGGTAAGATATCCTCGAAGGAGCAATTTAAGCCACCTGTCCCCAGTGTGCTGATAGGATTTGAATTATGTGCAGCCTCTGAGGAAGGCATTAATGAATCACTGTGAACACTTTAATGAAGATGCTTGAGCAACACTGAGCTGCAGTTCACAGTGAATGTGGATATGAGGGCTCATTGAAGAGAGAGAGTATGGACTCAGTCTGATGGGCAATGGAGAAGTCTCTTTTGACCTTACCTTGGAAAAGGTCAGTTTAGCCACCTCATTACAGGACAATCTCAATGGCAATGGAAGCAATGATAAAAGGGATGGTGGCGCTTGTTAGGGTTGTAAAAGGTATTTCAATGAAAGGCTCCTCTAGTTAATGAAAGCATTGTCCTGGGTGTTTTTGCTAGAGAAACGGAGCAGAGTTGGTCATTCTAGGTGAAAACTGTCCATCTTTTGGCTTGCCCTCACCAGAATGCAATCCCTACCATGGGGAGCAATGCCCATCTAATTTATTTTTGTTTGTTTTGCCTGCATGTAACAGAGTGCAGGGCATAGAACAAGAACTTAATAAATGGAGTTAGTTGAAAATATTTACATGTTTATTTAACAGAATGAGTGTCATTTAATTCATTCAACAAGCGTTATTATGCACTATGTCAAATACCTAGGTGTGAATGATTCAGAAAGAAACTAATCAGGCCACTGTTCTTGAGGGGCTCCACCCAGTGTTGGTGGGTGAGATAAGCACATAGAAAACACTCCATAAATTATATAAAGTGGCTGTGATGTGAACCAGGTGTCATAAGAGGAGGGGGGTGGGGCTTCCAACCTGAGCAATGATAAAAGGGATGGGGGGGGGGGGGGAAGGCTGCTCACATGCTGAGATGAGAAAATCACAGATCAATCAGTTTCAAAGAGCAGGCAGGAAGGAGTGGAGCTTCATACGGAATTAAACTGTATCATCATGACTATAGCTGTTGACTATGAAACTCACTCTATCTCTCATGATCCAGCCCCTTACAGCTCCTTCACAGGCAACATCATGAACGCCTAGCTCTTCACCTGCCTTTCTGAAGGGCTAATTCCTCTAGTCCATGTGCTCACAAGGAGTGGGTGAAGTTAGTACTGTTTAGGGATGGGAATGGGGTGTTATTATCTCTCTACACCCCTTTATCACTGCTTCTTCTTCTCTACCTTCCAGGCGCTGTCCAAGTCTAGGTTCTGGCTCCTCTGAGATAAACCCTCCCAACCCTCTCTTTGCTTTAGAGGGTCTAATAGTCAACAGTTTCAGATTTCCTCTTGTTGCCAACAGCTTTCTAGACCCTGTGACTCCTTTCTATCCAGCTTCTAAGCCCCTTCCTCGTGCAGCCCTTTCCCTCCTGCTTTGTGTGGAGACCTGCTCATCTGCACAGGGCTGGGCTATGACCCGCTTACTCACATTTAGCACCTGCTTTGCAAAGAGGCTTCACATCAGCTCTTAGGAAGGGG